ACACACACGCACGAGAGAGTGAGAGAGCACAGTGCCAGCTTGATCCCAGTCATGCATCCTGGATAATACCGCCTGAGCGGGAAAAAGAGAATTAGGTATGTGTATGTGTGTGTGTGTGTGTGTGTTTGTGTGTGGGTGGGGGGGTGGGGGGGGACGAGGGACGACACACTTTGCCATGTGCCCTCATACCCAAACAGACCCCTTCACATGGCTGCCAAACCACAAAAAGGAAACACACACACACACACTCTCACACTCACACACACTCTGAGTGCAGTGCTGCAGCCATATGGCATGATGAGTTTCTGCTCCAGTTGAGTGAGCTGGTTCTGTGATGGACATGATGGACATGTAGGTGACAGAGACAATGCCTGCTGCATTGACTTTCCACAGCACTCTTATTATATCAACTAATTAGGTCCAAGATCACAACCTTTATGGGACTGCAGGCGACTAGACAACTCAACAAGCACTTGTATGTGAAACAAGTCAGCAAATGTCTGACAGGTGCCTACATTAATCAGTTGGTGTTGGTCAATAGTTCAGTTCCACACAAGAACATTTAGAAACTTGTTGTTGTATATAAACAGCTACAAGTCAATATGAGTTTGTGAATGAATCGGGTCAAAGTTACACAAACCGGACTCATCTGGATGAATGAGGGTTGAAATTGTTGACAAGTCATCAAAACTCATCACCAGGAAATAAGAGTCAAAACATCAGAAACGGAAACTCTGAGACGTCACGTACGTCCGACAAGTGAACTTCTCTGTTCGGAAAGGCATGAAAAGGAGAAGCAGGAGTGTAGACTCAGCTTATTTTCTTTCTTTCAATGGAAAACATGTTATCGTCTAACTCCACCGCCCCCTCTTCTCCCTGTTTTCTCTGCGTCTGTGTTCCTGATGACCAGCTGAGGTTATTGAACTGGCTTGCTGGACGTTAAACACCAGCGGGTGAGTGAGGGTGGCTAATTTTCTTTCTGATTGGAGTTTTTATTGATCTGCCTGCAGCCTAATTAAATTGCCCCGTCATTAGCAGAGACAAGGTGGTTCAAATGAACAACCAGAGGCTTTGAAACAGAGTTAGAGCTGTATGGCCACCCAACCACCGTGAGTCCAGCTGTCCTTTCAGAAAACCAGGTCAGATCTTCACGTAAAGCTCATGATAGCGAGGTAGCTGCTTCCTGATTAATTACCAATTCCATTTTTGACTGCTGCTGATCTGTCCTCTTTTTTATGAGAATGTCCTTTTGTCCTCAATGAACCGCTGGCAGTAAAAGACACCTCAGCACTCCTTCAAACTCTGATCTGAACTGTGGACTTGGCGGCTGTCAGTAACAACACAGCAGCGAGATTACGAAGCATAAATCAGCTCAAATCACTGCCTCTGTCACCTTCATAACCTTACGTGCGTACGCAAGTGGACAGGAGGCTGAGAAACACCTGACAACCGTAAAGGCAAAGCCATAAAGATCGATTTAAAGCAGGTGAAGTAAATCCTCCTCAGCTTTTACCTCTCATCACAAGATTGCATTGTTAGATTTTTATTAGAGGAGAGTTCTGGAAGCAGCGGCTGCTAAAGTATTGGTGGTTTGTGTTGTTACACCACTAACAGTTGTGTCCATGGCTACATAACTTTATGGAAAGCATTTACTCCTCCGCTTAATCTTCTTGCGGTCCGCTGTTCCAATTTAGAGGGCAGTCACAAGTCGACACCAGGAAAACTGTCCCAAGGATGAGTCTCTGACAAACATAAGTAATCGGAGCATTCAGAGAGTGTGTGTGAGCTAACCTTCACTCTCCTCAACCACCCCCTTGAAACAATGGGAGGAAACGGCGCTGGGAGATGGGGCGACACTTCGGACAGGAAGTCAGATATAGGCAGCGACGAGGATGACCTGGCAAACTCAAAACACATCTACAGGCGACACACTGTGACAGCGATCTCGCGGAAATGAATATTATCTAAATACAACGTTACTGCTGATGTATCGTCACAATAAACTAGTCATGGTACGTGATCAAACTGTTAGAAAATCCATCCGATTTTTCTAAATCCAACTCAATCCACAAAAAAAAAAACTTATTTTTCAGCTATTAGCTTTTTCATCTGTTAGGGTCTGCCATGGGCGTATTTTTTTGGGGGGGGGGGGGGGGGGACATGTCCCCCCCACTTTTTCCAAAGTCAAGTTATGACCCCTGCACTTTTTACCATCCAAAAACAATATTACGCTATATTAAATTGACACTGGTTGAGCTCTAGGACCAAGTGGAAAACAACTGTTGTGTTGAAGTCTGTTTCCCATTAGAGCATACTGTAAAGATACAACCCCACCCACCACCCACCACCCCCACCTCCCCGTGTCCCCTCCACTTCTAAAGTGAAAATTACGTCCATGGGGTCTGCTATGCTGCAGGGTTGATGTTTGCCACATTTTACTTTTGAGATGCCCCCAAAATAACGAAGCAGACAAATTACGTACAATTTCATATCAGAATGGAGCCCCTTGAGCTAAAATAATCATAGAACCAGTGAAAAGAAACGTACCTCGTACAGCATTACAACAAACGTTATCTTTTGCTAATTATCCAGGGAAAATTAATTATTTATTTTAATGATTCATATTACATTTGATTCTTAACATACGTGTTTTACTTGTAAGTTAAAAGTACCTGGTACATGAAGGGAATCAATAAAACACACACACACACACACACACACACACACACACACACACATATATATATATATATATATACACATGTATATATATGCTAAAACATGGTGTTGCAGTGTGTGTATTTTACTGTACGTGTAGTGGGATGCAAAAGTTTGGGCAGCCTTGATAATCTTCACGATTTTCCTGTATAAATCGATGTTTGTTATGATAAAAAATTCCAGGTAAAAATATCTTATAGGAGACACACAGTGATCGTTGTGAAGTGAAACAACGTTTTTAGGACTTACAGAAAGTGTGCAATAATTGTTTAAACTAAATTAGGCAGGCGCATGCATTTGGACACGGTTATCATTTTATTGATTCCAAACAATTATCTGAACAAAAAATTGGTTTGGTAAGCTCAGTGACCCTTGACCCCTTTACACAGGTGAAACCAATTGGTGAAAGAGTATTTAAGAGGAACAATTGTAGGTTTCCCTTCTCCTCTCTGAAGAGCAGCAACATGAGGGTCTCACAACAACTCTCACATGAGCTGAAAACAATGATTTTTCTCCATCATGGTTCAGGGGATGGATACGGAAATCTGTCTCAGAGATTTCAGCTGTCTGTTTCCACAGTTAGGAGCATACTGAGGAAATGGAAGATCACAGGCACAGTTCAAGTTAAGGCTCAAAGTGGCAGACCACAAAAAATCTCAGATAAACACAAACGGAGAATGGTGAGTCAACCCAAAGACCACCACCAAAGACCTACAACATTGTCTTGCTGCATATGGAGTCACTGTGCATTGTTTAACTATTCTGCTCCTTTTACACAAGGAGATGCTGTATGTGTAGGAGACTATTTTCATGTTCAGCCTGCATGAAAAATTGATCAGAAATAATCATTAAAAGATGGGGTTTTCAGTGCCCTTCAAAGCTCCATATTTCTCATGACTTCATAGTTGTTTTGTGGCCTGTGTGTCATGTGATGATTTTTATAGCAACACATTTAGACACCCGTGTCTTACTGACAGCTCAGCCCAGGTTGTTCCTGTAGAAAGCAGCACTCCTAACTTTTCCAATCAGTAATCTTTATGCTTTTCTAGAATTTGTGCAGCACTGAGAGATAGTTCGACACCAGTTCCAGTAGGTTTCTATGAAATCAGAGGGGTCAGTCATGTTAACAGATCAGTTTATAATAACAATATGAATGTTTTAATAAAGTAAAGCCCTTTGTGATTTATCAGCCCTGAAACATGCAGGGTAATGCTCAAGGGCACATCAGTAGTCAGGTTTCCAAATGAGCTGCGGCTAGAGAAAGTCAATAAAAACATATTAAAAGTTTTAACATCTGCCTCAGCACTACAAGTGGGTCACTGCCAGCATTTAACAGGCTGAGATAACATGTAGCTGGGAGATGTTTTCTCTGAGTCGCCCAATAATTCAGACAAATAAAGGTAAGAGCTTTGTCACATGAAATGTAGATTAACCCTCTAAGGCTCAAAATAAGTTTTGATAAAAGGACAAAAAACTAAGTACTTCAGGGGTACTTCTGAATAAAAAAATGCTCATGAAATACGTACGTGGAGTAAGCAGGTAGGTAGGTTTTAATGTTGCAAATCTGCAACGCCTGCCTCCAGACGGTTAACCGCATTTTAGGTGAACTCTTATATCTTCTTGCAAAAACAGATGAGTGCATTTCTGTAAAAGCTGATCCGTCAGCAAAACACACACACACACACACACACACACACACACACACACACACACACACACACACACACACACACACACAAACCCATCCAGTAAGCAATAATTAGGAGTTTCTGGATTTCACAGAAGTTTGTGCTTTTTTACTGTGACTCATTGGCTCGTTGCTTACTTGCATAGATGCTGAACAGATAAATGACAGCTTTTTATGCGTTTCATTCATTCAGACAAATGTCTTTTCCTTGTCCAGCTTCACACATCAGTGGACCTGCTGTAGTTTCCCATCAGTCCCCTCCATGTTCCCAGACTCACATCCAACAAACAGACCTTGGAGCAGCAGCAAACATCTCAGATATCTCTGATCTTCCCTGCATATCTTTAAATGCCTGTAATTCCACACTTCTTTTCTCACAAGTTCCTCATCATTTCATTTCACCTGTGAGTTCTATTTGAATCTACAAAAACAGCATGAACCTTAGAGGTCTGAGCACCTCCACAGCCCAAACAACAGAGGAACATCTGCCAGACTGTTTAAGAGGACGTGAAGTGCATGCGGTTCCCCAGACTTGAAAACAGATTTCAATAGACACAATTTTATTTTTACAATAAACAACACATGTTGTACTGACCCAGTGGTGTGTGCTGCTCTCTGGGGAGCGAGGCTGGTACCTCTGCAAGGTGACGCCTCCCTCTCCCTCCAGCAGTAAGGTGAATTCCAGGTTGAAGCAGTGGTGGTGCTGGGCAGGTGAATACAGGAAGGTTGCTAAGGGATACTGGGAAATCATGGTGATCGCCAGCATCAGCGGGAAGGATGACACGGATGGCAGGACATCCTCCAGGCTGGTCGGCAGAGTGATAAAAGTCTGGAGCTTTGATCTTCACTGTTGAGAACAAACAGGCTTCTTGTCAGAAGTTTTTGTTTTGGATAATTGACCAGTGTCCTCTTCTCTCTTCTTGTTTCGCTTCTTTTTTCCAAAGCAGTTTCTATGTTGCCTTCTTCTGTTTTCTTCTATTTCCTTATCAAATATTCTTAGCGCTCGTGAAGTTCAGCTTGCCAACGGCTCTCCACCACATGAGTGATTAAAGTCTATTGTCTCTCTTCACCTCTAACATTCATCACAAGAAGGGGGAGGAGCTAAACATGATGGCCCAACCCCTTTTTCCATAAAAAAAATTCTGCCAGCTGACCAAAGAGAGTTTGAGTGAGAAGAAAAGGGAAAGAATGGCAGGAAAGCTAAGATAGAGGACAGGATGTCATGGGAGAACTTCTAAGAATGACCAACAATGGTAACTATTGTCACAAATACTTGGCCCTGCTTTCGTCCTGATGAAACATTACATCTTCAAATGGAAATTTCATTTAAGATTCTCTTTATTTAAACATATCAGTGTCTGCTTTGTGTTTTGCAATCATTATGAGATTTCGGCTCCCAGTGTCTACATATGTTTTTAGATTTGCTTTAACAATAGCTCATACAGTTGAGTGGTAGGAACAAACGTATTGTTTTGTTGTATGTGCAGGTTTGTTTGTTAGATGACCTCATAAAGTTAAAGCTAATTTAGGCTCCGATTTGTAGCTTAGCTGGAGGCTTTGGTGGAGGCAGAACAAAGGTTAAACCACCGGAAATGAAACAACTCTGTGAGAACTTGTTTTTGTAACTTTGTGGGGACCTGCTGCTTTATTAATACACACTCAGTCAGGACCTGCAGCCTTACGAGAACAACGATGACATCACTTTGGTGAAGATTCGTTATGCACTTAAGATCTTTTTTATGTTAGACTATCCTCAGCTCAGTGAACGATGCACTGATTTCAGTCAAGCATGTGTGTGTGTGTGTGTGTGTGTGTGCGTGTGTGTGTGTGTGTGTGTGCGTGTGTGTGTGTGTGTGTGTGTGTGTGTGTGTTTGCTTATTGACCAAAGAAAACAGGATGCAAGGTCTGAATTTATGATTAATTTCTAACTGTAAGAAGCAAATTTCATCACATCTGGTTCACCATTAACTGATAAATGTGTGTGTGTGTGTGTGTGTGCGTGCGTGCGTGCGTGTGTGTGTGAGAGCACTCTGCCTGGTCCCGTATAATCCTCTTTTCTGCACATGACTGTTTCTTATTTTGGCTGATCTCACCCCCCCCCCACCCCAAACACACACTCATACACTTACACACACTAAAGTTTAACTCCTTATGTCTTGTGACATTTCGAAGTGTATTTGTTGTTTTTATATAATCTCTTCATCATTTTTAGCCCAAAGACTGTTTTTGCTTAAAAAAAAGATTTCCATGGAGAAAACATATTAGATCATTTAAACAATGGTTTAGATGAAAAACAAACAAGTCTTTTTCAACAAATGTTAATAAATAGAGATCGATTTCTGCTTTTCTGTGTGATGATTTAACTTCACTGTGCCCAGCTTCCAGCATCAGGCACCCTCTTGAGTTTCAAGCTGGTCCCGGCTGCGGCTCACACCTTCACTGTGACTCAGCCTGTCAGAATTCCTTTGTATACATATTACTCAGACATATAATGAACACCAAACTGTGTTTAAATTTAGCAGTGATTCGTAGTTGGAGCCTGAAGGAACTAGCCTAGTGAACTAGACCAAATTCTTGCTTTGCAAAGTTTAAATAATACATTTATTTAGTCTGGCTTATAAAGCATTATAATGCCTCTCCGATCAAGCTTAAATTATTCATGAATCTGTGAGTGGTGGAGGTGGAAAAGAGCACGATAAACATGGTGAGGTCAACCCACATCCTTAGCTCCCATTTACTGTTCATGTCCTCTTCAAACTTACAGTAACATTAACCCAGTTTAGTGGTTTTTAACTAACACCTTTCTCTGCAGACAAAATAAAAAGCTCAGAGTGATTCATTCTCTACTTTCTTTTTAGTTCCCATTTCCTCTCAGGCTACCTCCATTTCCCAGATGTGCCTGAGCTGAGGCTTGTTCCTTTCTCAGTGGACGTGTGAGTGTGCTGCTAACACAATCTCAGCGTGGTCAGCGTCAGTTTGCCCAGCTGGGAAGCCAAAACACACACACACACACACACACACACACACACACACACACACACACACACACACACACGGAAAACACAATCTCTGTCTTTCTCTTGTTTTCTCCCACAAACAGTGGTAGATAAAGGGAGATGTCTCAGCTGAAATGAACAGTAATGCTGTGTGAGTGAGTAAAGGTTTATGTGAATGACAAAGCCAGTTAGGGAGAAGATTGTCTCAGCATGAATAACCACAATAATTAATCTTAGATGAATTCACAACAGAAGACCAATCTTTAAGAAAACCTAATTCATCCATCCATCTACTTTTTGACCCTTTATTCCACTTTAGGGTTGCAGGTAGACGGTGCCCAACTCCAGCCATCATCTGGTGAGGACTCCCTGTACAGGTCTCCAGTCTGTCACAGGGACACAAACAACCAGTCACACACTCATACCGATGGACAATTTAGGGTTGCCAATTAACCTGACATGCATGTTTTTGGTCTATGGGAGAACACCCATGTAATGATTTAAATTACATGTTATTTAATAAGTCACAAGACATATCATTCCATAGGAAATATGAACTCAACCTTATGGATCTGTAGTTACTGTTTAACCAGAAGATTGGAACTTTTTATTGCAGAGATTAGGTAACAGCTTCGTATTAACTCAGAGACAACAGAAGAGAGAGAGTCGAGTTTAAAAGTTTAAAGATTTATTACTAATGATTACTAATATTAAGTGCCTCGTGATTTTTGAATTGAGAGGCGCTATAGTCATGATACTTTCTTCTACTTTCTTTCTTTCTACTACACAAATTAAACTAGACTAACTTTAACACTAAATGTATGGTGTAACTAAGGTGAATGAGACGGAGAGTGGTGTAGTGTGGAATGTTGCTCAGAACCAGCAAATCCAAAGAAACGATTAGTTCTGATGGAAACTGAAGGTGATGTTTTCGCGCTAAGCTTTGGTTAGGAGATTCATAAACACATTCAATGCCATTTCGTCGGCCTACATATCCTTGTGGAAGTCCCCGTTAGATCAGGAATGTCGAGGTCCAGCTGGACCCTCTCTGGAACCGAAGCCGGTACGAAAAGCAGCGGTTGCCGACCAGACCAGTCTTTGAGATTCTTCCGGGTCATGACGGTTTTGTTGGCATCTAGTGAGATCTAGTGATGGTTCAGCTTTTATTCTGAAAGGATCCGTTGCAGCAGTTGGAACAGCAACAGATTTTATCCAGCTTGTCGTTGGTTCTTTTGGCTGAAGAGAAAAGTTACGGATTGGCCACTCTGACACTTCTCTAGAACGCTTTGAACTGGCATTAACGTGACGTGGGCATAGTTTTATACTTCAGATGTTTTGGTTTATGGTCGAATGAAAAGATGACAGATTTACCAAGCACCACCAAAACCACGCCTCCGTCAGATCTGGCAGATTCTGATTGGATCAGTAAAGCAATGTGTCGTCTCTTGACGCTACGTGAGATCAGTCCTAGTGGAGACATTTAAAGTCATATTACTTGTTATATTCTATAGGATTATAATAAAGTAATTAAAATTTTCATTTCACAGATTGGTCACATCTTATTATTGACTAACACTTCGTTTGATTAGCTTTATTAAAATAGAGTTCTTTGATTTATTAAAAGGAGAGAGTCCATTCTTCATTCTTCTCTTGAGCTGGAAAGAAGCAGTTTAGAGCAAATGCATGAGACCTTGAGGCCATATCTCATGCAGACTAGTTCTGTGTCAGAGGAGAGGGGGAAAATGACTTATGGTGGAAACAGTCATTTCATTCCGTTACACCCACAACTGCACGGGCAGAACATGGATTCAAACCTGTGACCTTCTAGCTGCAGGGCAGCAGTACTACTATATGCTCCACCATGATCATATATTAAATAGAATTCTCTTTTGTGTAATAATAACTATTTAAGAACAGTAAAATGAGAAGCATGAAGTAAAAATGTCACAGGCTGCTCCCGTCTCCATGACTACTCAACAGTCAGGCTCATTCAGCCCACCTGTGCTTGCCAGTTACACTCACACCACCCACCTGTCACACCTGCCACGGAAGCTCCTCCAGTCTCCTCTCTAGATTATGGAAAGCCTTTGTGTGAGTACATGTCCAGCTAAGTTTTCACGCCTGATTCCTGAGTGTCCCTGTCACCAGTCCAGAATACTCACCCAGCGCCATTCATTCCTTAAAAATGTGTGGTTGTCATTTCAGCTCACATGAACCATTACAGGAAGAAAATAAAACATATTTCAGTGAGTTCAAGTTTTCATGAAATAAAGCACAAAAATATTTAAATATATTTTACCAACAAAAACACCAAACAGCTCCTGAAACATGGCAGACACACTCTTCCTCTCTGGCATCAGTTCAATGACTCACTACTGCTCTCTGGTGGTTAAAATAAAAATCATCATACCTGATTTTCATAAAATCTACAAACTTTTCTTTCATAGTTTCTACTAAAGTTACACATTAGGATTTAACATGACTTGTCTCTGGGGGTCTCTGATGACTGGTTCATCCTAATCAGCAGAAAGAGACGTTTTCTTCTGATTACTGACAGACAACCAAAGACAAGAAAAAAGAACGAAGAGGCATATCAAGCGCTGTCTCAGCTTTCTTTTAGTTAGTTCAGCGCATAAGTAGTAGTTCCTCGTAAAACAAGACTGTTAGTCATTGCCAAGCACAGCATAGCTGAGTCACCTCACCCACAAAGGCAGCAATCTTTGTTGTTTATTTTATTATAATGAGTGTCCCGGCATCATGTCAGGAAGCCAAGCACATAACCAACTGTTCTCCATGAGGACCTTTGATCCTGCATTTACATCCACTTTGCATTTGAAATGGACCAACAGGCTCATATGACATGCAAAGTAATCTAATAAAGCTTGACATTTACTGTAAAAGAGTCTGTTCACATTTGCCCAAAGGCTCCGAATAAGACCTGGGTCTGTTCTGGTAGAGGAAGTGAAGTGGAGTTGCTGCAGTGAGCTGTGGTGCCTTCGGGGCTGGGGGGTTAACTGTGAGTTTGAGGGTTGTGTTTTCATCCTCCACCACATCTGTAGCTCACTATAAGTGCAGAACTCCCACCAGTGATTGTTTCCTTAATGACGTGTCGCTGCAGAATGAGGTGGGGCTTTGATAGAACTGAGGGGCGTTGTTTACTGAGGTGATAGTTTTATTTTAGTTTATTTGCCTTTATACAAAACTCACCTGAGAAATTTATGAGTGAATGGATTCTGATACAGCATGGAAATGTTGCCAGCAGTTAAAAGAAAAACATGATCCAGAAATTATATTTGCTGCCTGGTTTGTGTGTGTGTGTGTGTGTGTGTGTGTGCGTGCATGCGTGCGTGCGTGTGTGTGTGTGTGTGTGTGTGTGTGTGTGTGTGTGTGTGTGTGTGTGTGTGTTTGAATAGGAGGAAGTGGATAGCACTTATAACACATGAAGGATTTTACTGAAATCATCTCCATGTTGTCCCACTGATCACTGATTCATTTCATTTAATCTTCTTATGAGTGACAGAAAAAGAAGGTTGTGTATAAAAGATAGTTATTATTAAAGGATTTTGTGGGTTTCATTGGTGTTTTCCCAGTAGGACAATGGAAAAGACTGTGTTTTAAAATTAGGTTGCATTTGAATAATTGTCAAAGTAAACATAAAACGATTCTTTACCTTAAAATTTGTTATATTTCAAATCAAAAGCCCACCTTTTTTAGTTTTTATAATCAGAACCACAGTACGTTGTTTTTCCATCGTGTGTGTCCTCTCAACGGCAGATTTTCATTAGCTTAACTTTGCTGTGAGTTTAGTAATAAATCCAGCTGTCTGGACGTTAGGTGAGTTAATGACAGCTTGAAAAAGCTGATGGATCCATTTAGCTGCTCATGTCATCAACATTCTTGTTGCCTGAAACAGATTTTTAAAAATAGCATTTTTGTTGTGTTTTTAAAAATGTATATCATTCATTGTAATGTTTGTTTATTAAAAATGTATTTATAATGAAGGTATATGTTGTAGCTAGTTGGAGACCCCTTGGGATGGTCACAAATGAGTGAATGTGGGTTAAAGTAACAATGTGTAATTTTTACTGTTAATCTGTGGAAATATACATCTAAATGTTGTTGAAAATGAATTAAATGATGCTCAGTTGTTGAAATATATTGGCAGCTTTGTAACATATAACCATAACAATCAGTTCTATAATACATGGGAGCGGGTCTTAAGTCTCTGCGTGATGCCATATTAGATACTATGTTTCCTTCTACGGAAGCCCGTGAGACCAGAACACATTAACTGATTTGTAACAAACTCTTATAAAACTTTCATTATCAATAAACATAATTGTTGTACACATTTACCTTGCTGTCAGTAATTAAAGGGAGTATGATGTGCTTGTCATGTTGCTGGAGGTTTAACACCTTGTTTCTTTTGACCCTAATGGGCATCCATACATAAGATCTTACTCGAATACAAAAATACTGCTTGCTTGCAATAGTTTAGGTATATACTGCCCCCTGTTGCCATTCTCACACACACAGTCTCCCCTCATGTGTCTCCCTGTGTTCTCCATCCCTCTCTAGGGTCTCCTTTTGTGTCTCCTAGCGCCCTCATGTGTCCTTGTCTGCATCTTCCTTATGTGTCTCCTTGTGTCCCTCATTTGTCCCCAGATCTTCTAGCTCTCAGGTCATGTTAGTTTCCTCCCTGATCTCACCTGGTCTCTCTCTCCCCACACACCTGCAGCTCATCTCCCTCTCATCCTCCCCAGTGTATAAAACTCTGTCTGTGTCGCAGTGTTTTGTCGGTCCATTGTTTGTTGTCAGCATTGTCTCGTTCCCTCTCTTGACTCTAGGGTATGATATCTCCAGGTCTGCTCTTTAAAGGAGCTCTTAGGTCTCAAGGATTTTACTTATTAGGATTTTGGATTTATGTTTTTGGCTTCCTACCCTTTTGGATTTTGAGTTTTGGTCTCCAGGATCTCAGGACATTGGTTTTTGGCTTCCTGCCCCTTTGGATTATTGTTGTTCCCATCAAAATAAAGGGATTTTACTTTATAACTCGCTCCTGCCTCGTGTCGTCTGGGTTCTCTGCATTTTGGGTCCAAACCTCCTCCTAGCTCTCACATCGTGACACAGTCACTTTAAGGTTCTTGGCCAGTCAGGTTCAAAAAGCCTTCATCGTCTCTAAAGACTCACTTCTATGGGGAAATAATTGTTTTAGTTTTTAACCATTAAAATTACAAACGATTCTTACATTTTTTTGTAGATATCCGTGTCTTTGCTGACACACAAATCCTTCACGTTTGTAACTAATATTGGAAGTTTGTTTTTCTTTAAAAGTCCAAGAATCCCTCATACCAGAAAACACAGATTCATCCCTCAGACAAAAGACAGGAGAGCAAGTGTGTGTTTTATCTTTAAAGTACATCTATGTCATGAAGATCAGCCAACAGGTCTGAAATGTAACAGAACTCAGAAATGCCCAGCAGATGGCAGAACTGAGCTTTTCCTCTAAATGCAGCTTTGGGAGAAAGAAACCTGCAACAAAGGCAAACTACCAAAAACTTATAAGGAATCAAAGTCAACATAAATTAAACTTGTTTTTTTAAAGATTTCAAACACTTAATTTCCCCTTCAAACTTTTGCTCTAACAGTGGACTTATATCTTTGTAGAAAATCCTTTCAGCACCTCACTGACCCTCCACATACCCGTTCCTGACTCCTGCTCTGCTGTGTCCTTCTACCACGACTCCATCAGATCCCACGGCCGACAGGAACCATAAAGCTGGCCCCCAGAACTGAGGCCAAAACTTTACAGGAGGAGACTGTCCTTTACACTATCACGTCTCCAAACCTCAAATTTACAAGAAGGGGTCGCACTCATTCTGTTTTACCACAGTTTGAGAAACGTTTCAGTCCCATTTTTCTCCCGGAGGTCATGGGAACATTTCTATCTGATTAAACACAAATAAACATGATGGTTAATTCGTCTCACAGAGATGAAAACATGATTTCTGTTGATGCGCTGTCCTGGGTTTGAGTCTGACCTCCACCACCCTGTTGATACAACAATAACAACCTGTTGTATTATAGTTTAGTCTGCAGAAAGTGGAAAAAACACAAGTTAAGAAGTTGTTTTATTGCTTCGACCTCAGCAGCACAATTGGACAGAGCGGAGCTTGTGTCATGGAAAGGAGTGTTTCCTAAATGCTCACTGATGATCTTAACAAGCAAGACCAGCCAGCTTGGAAAAGATGCTTTTATTACTTTCTTTTAAAAAGTTGTTTTCTTCCTGCAGAAACAGACATTTATGTCCAGATGAGCATCTGTTTCTGTCCTGCAGCTTGGCAAGAATCGGCTACACTTTTATTTATTTCTGAGTGTGTGTGCCAGTGTGTGCGCACGCACGCACGCACGCACGCATGCGTGTGTGTGCATGTGTGCAAGTGTGTGTTTGTTGTTTGTGTTTGCATGACTTCATCTGAAGCAGTGACACCTGTGGGTACAATAAGTCAGCCTCTCTCCTCCCACCAACACACATGCTCGGTTCTGTACGTGCACAGATGCATCAACGTGCACGCCAGCACACTCAAATACAGCAGAAGTGTTGTTGCACAGTTTTATGAAAAAGTTTTCAAACATTTTTTATTCCACAGCTGTCTGTTTGGCACACATCTGTGCTGTTTAAACTCTAATGTTTCAAGCTATACAGAAATCCATTCTTGTGAGGATTGATTCCTTTCACATTCTGTAAATGATGTTGGCTGATGTGTTTCAGGCCATGGAGGCGTCCACACTGGCTGCAGACACATGGAGAATAAATTATTTTTTTGTCAAAATTGTGCTGGCCTTCATCCCAATCCTGCTCATCGTCTGTTTTATTCTTTAACTCTCCGTCTACTCCTCGTGCAGCTGATAAGATGCACTGATTCACCTGTTCCTGTGGGGGGTGAACGTCGGCACAGGCATGTCAGCTCTAGTGTCTTTTTCCAAATCTGAGAACACGAGACGTCCACTGTGTCTCCGTCTTCGTTTCAGAGTTCATCTCGCGTCGCCCGAGCTGCAGGAGGAGGCGAGTCCCCAGTGACGCTGTTCTGTGCCACGGGTCGGATTCGACCCTGCTGGGCTGTTTTTCGGTCGTGCTGCCGGTCCCAGTCTGTGGCCACGGCCTCGTCGTCCCAGATGGTGGACGTCTCCGTGTCGCTGATGTAGCCGGGCTCTCCGGTGTAGTGGGTCGGATATATGAGCAGCGGCTCCACAGAGAAGGCCTTCAGGTCCCGCCGCTCAAAGTGAGACATGTGCTGCACACTGAGGTGGACAGAGAAAGGACGGGGACAGGGAGACATCACTGATGGAGGTTTTCTAAACACAGGGCATGAAATATATCTGAACTGTGTGAATTAATTCAAATGTCTACATTTTCCTGTTAAAGGTAAACTTTACTCATATTTTTCCATAGTATGAAAGAATTCCTTGTAAATCATTCTCTGAGGATTTTAAGCTCTGGTGCGCCTGTTTCAGCACGAAATATTCAGCTGGAGGATGAAATAGCTTCAGACAAGTTTTATTTCCTGATATTTGGACATCTCACTTTGGAATAAATAACAGCAACACGACTCTACCACTGAATGTCTGCAACATTGATGTTTTATCTCTACAAATAACACAAGCTTGGAGGAGTTCTACTGTGTGGTGGAGTCGCTAATGCTAACGGTTAGCTGCTATTAGCTGAGACATTCTCTGCTGTTTCCTGGACGCTTAACCAACAACAGCTTTCCTCATCATGAGTCAAGATGGGTGAGTCCATGAATGTTAAGTGACAGTGTGACATAGATCAGTCAGGCTTTTCTAATCCCAGCATTTCACCGCCTATTTTCTATCGGAAGCTAATGCAGGAGACAGGTGTAGGAGATTATTTTCATGTTCAGCCTGCATGAAAAACTCAGAGTGACTGATTATGATCAGAAAAAACTGTTTTTTCAGTGAAATTGACCTTTAAAATTAGATTGATGTTGGTGGTTGATTTAAATTAATACAAGAGCTTTACTGCAGTTTAATGATGTCATTTGCCACCAAGTTAACCTGTGATCTACAAAAGGTCACTTGAGCTCAATAATGTAATTTTTCTCAAACATCTGACTCATCATCAGGGGCGACGGTGGCACAGGAGTTAAGTGCTCGCCCTGTAATTGGAAGGTTGCAGGTTCGAGCCCCGCTCAGTCTGTCGCTGTGTCCTTGGGCAAGACACTTAACCCACGTTGCCTGCTGGTGGTGTTCGGAGGGACCGGTGGCGCCTGTGTAAGGCAGACTCACCTCTGTCAGTGCGCCCCAGGGCAGCTGTGGCTACATTGTAGCTCATCCCCACCAGTGTGTGAATGTGTGTGTGAATGGGTGAATGACTGATTGTGTTGTAAAGCGCCTTGGGGGGCTCCGGGACTCTAGAAGGCGCTATATCAAATACAGGCCATTTACCATTTTACCATATCATCTCTCATAAACTGGACATTCTGATGTCTATTATACTCATCTGCACTGATTTAACGTACAATTCAACAGAAAGAAGATAAACAAGATGCTCTTTTTTCTGCTATTTTCAAAGAATAATAATAAAAGAAAAATAACCAAAAGAATTTGTCCATGCTTTCGTTCTTTTTTAAACACAGAAACAGTTTTGTTTACCTGTTTGTAGCTACAGTTTCGCCGACGGCTGCCGGCTTCTTCAGGCTGACGCTGATGGTGGCGCGTCACTTCCTTCTCCGTTTATCTGCGGGCAGCAGAGGACGTTGTCGCCCTCTACTGCCCGCTCTCCCCTCTCCGACGATGCAGTCCCATGCGTGGTCCAGCGTGTAAACTCCGTCGTCCCTGTTCATGGTCCCACATCCACGTCTCCTTATCTCGATTGCTTCCTTGATCCATCTTTTGTATTTTTGTTGTTCAGTGGTTATGATCCGTGTGCTGTCCCAGTCCATTATATGGTTTTCTCTTAAGCAATGATCTGTTACGGCTGACTTTTTTATTGTACTTTCTGCTTCTTCTTTTGCTGCTCTTGTGTGTTTACGATTTGCCTCTTTCTCGCACTCCTTTCTGTGTTCTATTGTCCGTGTATTGAGTTGGCGTCCGGTTTCTCCTATGTATGTTTTATTGCATATTTTGCATGAGATTTCGTAGATGACTCCACATTTTTGTCCAGCTGATATTTTGTCTTTTGGGTGTACTAGTCTGTTTCTAACTGTTGTGTATGGCTGGTATATACACAACAGTTAGAAACAGACTAGTACACCCAAAAGACAAAATATCAGCTGGACAAAAATGTGGAGTCATCTACGAAATCTCATGCAAAATATGCAATAAAACATACATAGGAGAAACCGGACGCCAACTCAACACACGGACAATAGAACACAGAAAGGAGTGCGAGAAAGAGGCAAATCGTAAACACACAAGAGCAGCAAAAGAAGATGCAGAAAGTACAATAAAAAAGTCAGCCGTAACAGATCATTGCTTAAGAGAAAACCATATAATGGACTGGGACAACACACGGATCATAACCACTGAACAACAAAAATACAAAAGATGGATCAAGGAAGCCATAGAGATAAGGAGACGTGGATGTGGGACCATGAACAGGGACGACGGAGTTTACACGCTGGACCACGCATGGGACTGCATCGTCGGAGAGGGGAGAGCGGGCAGTAGAGGGCGACAACGTCCTCTGCTGCCCGCAGATAAACGGAGAAGGAAGTGACGCGCCACCATCAGCGTCAGCCTGAAGAAGCCGGCAGCCGTCGGCGAAACTGTAGCTACAAACAGGTAAACAAAACTGTTTCTGTATTTAAAAAAGAACGAAAGCATGGATTTAGAAAGACACAGCAAGAACACACCTAAGATGTTCAAAAGAATTTGTATTTCTCTGTCTATGTGGTTACTCTTAAAATCATACAATTTCAAAAGAACTGGGCTGATTATGATTACTGATAGATTAAAGTAACTGGAGATGAACCAGCCTAACCACACCCCGCTCCTCATCAACAATACTCCTGTACAAATGGTCAGCAGCACAAAATTTACTTGGTCCACAAACATGGCATCCCTGGTTAAGACAGCACAATGGCTGCACTTCCTGTGGAGGCTGAAAAGAGCCCATCTGTTACACCCATTCTCACTTCATTCAACAGAAGCTCCATAGAGAGCATACTGACCCACTGTATCTCGGTGTGGTGTGGAGCCTGCAGCGCTTCTGACTGGAGGTCAGTGAGAAGAGGGGTAAAGAATCATTAAGCTACCTCTCCCCCCATACTAGACATTGGACCGAGGCGCTGCCTGTCTCGATCTTGTTCCATCATCAGTGCCCCTTCACACCTTCATCTGTTCTCGCTGCTAGCCTCTAGGAAAAGGATCTACAGCTCTGTTCCACTCATCATCAGATTGCTGAATTCCACATGATCACTACTCCTCTTTTGGAAGTTTTAGTTGTCATATTTTTTAAGTACTCAGTGTGTTTTTTTTAATGTACTTTCTGGTAGATTTTTTAAGGTATCTTTTTCATTTTAAATTGTCTTTTATCTTTGTTCTTATACTGGTTTGAACTTTCTGCGTTAAGCTGCCGCAACAAAATGTCGTTCCTGTACCCTTGTGTCACGGTCACTCCCCCTCAGCTCCCCTCTGCTGCTCATACCTAAGTTTGGACTCAATCTCCCACAATTCCCTTCTCTTCACTTCCGTTACATCACCCGCCAACTCTACAAAGGGCGGCTCCGCATCCTGGCTAACCATTCAGTCATCGATACTTCCGGGTTACTGAAACATGTCCAAAACTACTAGAAATCCTACCAACGCTGCACATACCAGTAAGTGTGCTTCTTTTTTTTCTTCAAATTTATTTATGAAGCGCTTTTCATACAGATGCAGCTCAAAGTGCTTTACAATATTAAAATCAACCAGACAGCAGTCAGTTGCCCACCCCTCCCACACAGATTCACATACGAGATCCCCTTTGTATCTGATCTGTTCTCTCTCAGGAACAACTGTACGACCCATTTCCATCGAGGTACATACAGTTGTTCCTATAGCAACCGTGTGTTTGTTGTTCTCCCGATGCTAGTCTTCTCCGCGTCTGGGTCAAACATTCTCACACTACATCTGAACTCCCGATCCGCTCAGTCTGCTTAGTCCTAACAGGATGACTGAATCCCGGATTGACCCAGCGGAGTTCGAACGCCTCCGCAATGAGGTCATTCAGGGCTACGGTGGATCGCCAGGCCACCAAACTAGAATCACTATCCGAGGTGGTCATTCAGATGTCTGCCGCCCTCCAACGTGGACCGCCAACCCCGAGGGAGGAACATCATATTGCCCTCCCCGATAAATGGAATGGATTACCGGTAGACGGCAGCCCAGATGGTCTGTTAGCTACGCTCGACGTGCTGTTCGAATGCCAGCTGAACCGGTACTCCACTCCTCGCTCCCAAGTGGCTCTCCTCATCTCTCTTCTGTTTGGACACGCCCAGGACTGGGCTGCCGCTATGTACAATCAAAAATCCCCCGCCTGCAACGATTACCGGGCTTTTGTGGCTGAGCTCCGGAAAACTTTTGTCCCACCTAGCAGTGAAGTGGGGGCTGAAGTACAACTCCTCAAGTTTTGTTTTGTTTTGTTTCGTTTCGTTCTTTCATTCAGTCAACCAAAGAAAAGTTACATTCAAACAATTCATGTTCACAAATAATCATGAATGAAAAGGAGCAGAAAGAAGCAAACACTTATAATATCTGCCCCTTTCTCACATCAAGACATTAGCTGTTCAACTCAAAGCCTGTCGTTCACCTACCCCCCCACCCCAACACAAAACAAGTCTATCAGCCTACTTAAGGTCTTATTATGTCATCATGATACGTTTGACACTTTTTTTTCATACAGAAAATGGGTTAGATTGTTTTATTTGACTGTCTAGACTATTCCATAAATAAACACCTTTAACTGAGATACATCTTTCTATTATCGCTGTTCGGAATCTTGTTTTTTTTTTAAATATCATTTCCTTTTAGATTATAATTACTTTCTCGTTTTACAAATTTCTTTTGAATATTTATTGGTAGAACTCCTTTATGTGCTTTGTACATAAGTTTTAATAAATGATATTCTACTAGTTTATCAAATTTCATTAGGTCTAGTTGTGAAAACATCGGATCCGTATGATCCCTGTATCCACTTCCAATCATAACTCTCTGTAAAAGAAAAATTGAATGTGTAAATGTTTTGTAGGTACTTCCCCCTACTTTGATACAATATGTCAGATATGGCAGAATTAACCAAT